ACATATTCCCCTTCAAGGAGTTTAGACTATAGCTCATATATTATATTCCCATATTCACTACTATAACCCCAGTATATACCCCATTATTATGGGGTAGCTTCCATTTTCCATTGTCCTAAAGTCCAAGGCACAAGTCCTGCTCGCTCCTGGCCAGGACAGAGCAGGTGTGCACCTGACAGAAAGGTACAATTGAACAATTGATGCTCTGGCTTATGTTCTTACTATTATTACAATTCTAGCTATTACTGTTGCCAGTATGATTTTCGAAATTTTGGATTCCACATCCCCAACGTAATTTTCTCAAGATTCACAACAGCTGTCGCAGCAATCGGAGCCGCCTACTACCGTTGAACGATCTACTAGCACCGCCAGGCTTGGGCACCCTCAACTCCAGCAGAGTAATAACCCCTCCTCGGAAGGGAACCCTTCATCAGATCCCATGCCCACAACTTTACCAAGCCCGCTGAAAACTGTAGAACCCTTGCAGCATTGCAAGAGCCGCTCTGGCAGCCTTCGTATCCTATGTCTTTCATGTGCTCATGGAACTCCAGCTTGTTGGCCTTGAGATTATGCATATCCTTGGCGGCTCAAGGATTTCATGTTAAAGAGTCTCTTGCTGTGGTGGCCACTGGGCCAACTCAGAACTTCCCTTGCCAGAACACTCAGAACGTCCAAAGCCACAGAAAATTCGTTAGAGTACTTGTACTTCAAGCAGTCAGACACTCACCAAAGCATGGAGTTCATGGGCAACATTTGGCAACGCATGTTCTTGTCGGGTTTGGTCTTTATTGTTCTGTCCCCCATGTGCCCCTTATTCCCCTTCTCATGATTGGTGCTTTGACAATTCTTCGAATTAAAGGAGTACTCTCACTACTCATATTGCCATTAGTTTGGCATGATATGCCAGTACCAGCATGGTGAGCTGCAGAAATTTGCACCAGGCTCGTATTCCTGGAATGCCACAAGATCTGGTTTTTGCGCTTCTATTCTCTGCAAGATCTTTGGCATCCTCTTGTCCTTGGCTGATAGCATGGGACAGATATTGCACCATAGTGGGCAAACGAATCCCTCTTTCAGGCCGCTACTTCGATGATGCACGCAGTGACCCTAAAAATATTTGATATCGCGTTGATGAATACCACGTTTTTCAGTGACTCACTGGATGGACTGGATTCACTCGATGCCGATAAACGAAGCTCTGCTTCAGAAAGGCCACACCCGAGCCGCTCTTCACTCAGACCCTGCTCGAATCTGGGATCATCCGGGATCCACATAACTTAGCCACTCTGGCCCCGAAATTCAGAGCTGGGGTACCCAGGTTCGATGCTCATTTTCTTCTGCAATCGCGTCGTACACGCGCCGGCCTTCCTGGAAGCTTTGGGGCTTCAACGCTCTCCGGGCAAGTCGCCAGAAATCCAAGAAGGGCCTGGGAGCCGTGAATCCTTCTTGACTAGATTTAGCTATTGCTATTGGCAAAGTCTTAGGTGCCTCTTTGCCAAGCTCTTTCTGCAGGACGCCAAGGCAGGTCATGTGCGTCTCCAGGGTCACAGCATCCCGGACCTTGTCCTTCTGAGCACCAAGGTCCCAGCCCTCTCAGGGAAAACGCGAAGGGTAAAGCTCACATCCTTCGACTTCGCAGGTGCCAGCAGTGCCAGCCTTCTTGGACAGCTCCGTAAGATCCGGTTGGCTCCAGAGAGCTCGAAGCTTCTGCGAGACATCCTCTGGATCCTTGATCAAATCTTTCATCTGATGCCAGGGCTTGTAGACCTGCATCTGCAGGCCAGGGTCATTCGTAAAACTTCAAGATCTGTTTGTGTCATGCATTGGTGTCCTCATTCATCTTAGCTTTCAGGTCTCGCCACCTCTTCTTGACATCGCCCTGGGATGGGGCCCGGCATTGGAGGCTTTGGCTCATGCGCTTTGCTATGCTGCCCCCTGGCCTTTTTCAGTGCCTGTTCTAGCACGTGGTGAGGTGGATCTTTCATGGTCCTGCGGCCAAGACTTGAAACAGCCCTGGAGGGAGCAAAATCATTGAAGCGAAGCCATGTGATAGCCATGAGTCCTGGGGATGAAGTTGGAGATGAGATCGTCCAGTAGAAGATTCCATGACAAGACCTTCACCTGCTGCGGAGTCGACTGCTAGGGAAAGCACAGAGGAATTCCCAGGAGCTGTGACGTGCTTGTGGACACCTTTGTGAACAAGTCCAACCACAGAGTTCCACTAAATCAGCACAACCCAAATTTGCCAACTGCAGCCTCCTTGTTGTTGGTCATCGGAATCATCGTGCATGCGGCACGAGACGCTGAGGCTGAATCTAAAGAAGCCTGTTGTTACTATCTGCCTGCTTGACTATCTGCACGATTCTGATTTAAGAATCGAATCTACTTCATAGGTCAAGGTGCACGGGTTCTTTGCCAGTGCTGAAAAAATGCATCGCAGCAGGGCACCATGATTCGTGCCAACCTCAACTCAGACTTGGCTCACTTCGTGTACTTACATCCGCCCTTTTTTACACGCCAAGTCTCCTTTTTCCTGCAAAGCTAGAATCTGATCGGGTCTTGCGCGGCTTCGCGCGAGTCTGAGGTTGGGGCTAGAATGGCAATGTGGACGTTTACAGGTCCAGTCTTAGTCTAGTATGGGGAATGGATGTCATAGGCCATAGGGATTGCCAGTTGAATGCGGAGGGATCATAATGACATGACCGGCGGATGGCTGTTCTTAAGCTCAGCCGCCTTCCCCGTTGCCATGGCTCCTTGCCGGTTTCGAGCAGCAGCATTTGAGAGTTAAACAAGATGGAAGGCCTGCAAACACCACCAAACAATTGGAAGGAAGTACCTCTCTGCTTCAGATCAAGGGTGTGGAGCAGGCCGCAACACCAGCACAACGCTATGGAAATGGCCACTTGTACCTTTGCTCTTACTAGTACCTTTACCTTGCAGCACCAGTTAGAGGACCGCGCTCCTGCCTAAACTCTCTCCTTGCTCTGTTTTGCACGCTAGTGGTACAGTGTGTTAACGCACATGGCAAGACCTCAGAAGCTTAAATGGCAGACGTACTGGACCGAAGTTATCTGCTGAAATCACTTTCGATGAAAAAAGATGAGCTCTTCAAGCCCCTGCTGAGAGCGGAACTTCGGCGGAACTCTAACTGCCAGAGTAAAAGTCTCCGGCCCTGGCAGAAGCACAGCAGACCGAGCATTACCAGCAAAGCAAGCGAGCACCACGGACCAGCGGCCTGTCACCTCGCACGTCCCAGCTCAATCCCTCGGCATCTTCCCCTGAGCGCGGCAACGTGCTCCCACTATCTGCATCCCATGACATGATTCTTCGAATCCGGTGAAGTTTAAGGCCGCCACCGAAGATGGACTTTGCATAGAAGCGTGCCGTCTTACTGCCTGGGCTGAGTCCCGGCACAGATGACCATTTGCAGGTGTCTGCGATGTTAGGTATGTCCGTGGCTACCAACATCTAGAAGCCTAAAATGTAAAGCAAAGAGTTCAAGTCGGCGCAGGATTCAGGGCTCACCTTGCCGGGAATGGTGTGACACCTCTTCATGCGGACCTCCCCATCTTCTACATTCTTCTACAAGCTCTCAAATCTCAGATGGCCAGTTTAGCCAGTTTTGCAGCTCGAGACGCTCTTGGACAGGGTGTCCACCTCAAGAGCAAGGAAAAGCATGTCTGAGACCGTCCTTCGTTAAGCCCCAAGTGTTGTGACATTCTGTGCCATACCTACCCTGCGAAAGAGACTCTCTGAGCTTGAGAATGCTTCGACGTGACACGCATCTTCAGCCTGACCCATCTTTTCTTCTCACACACACACACGGCGATCGCAGATAAAACGTTAGGACTCACTCTTGCAGAGACCTTCACTCAGCAACCCTGGCTCGCTCCACAATGCCTCAGGGTGACTTGAGTAAAATGGGAACCGTTTAACAGACTCCCTGGAAGATTTCATGCAACGCAGGGCGCATCACTGTGCGAAGTGGGACACGGTACGTCTTGGACGGTCCCTAGCGGCCCTAGCGACATGAAAAGAGCATGAAGCAAATTTTAAAGCGGCTGTTTGCCGAGCTCTTCAAGAAACAATCCTGTCGGATGTGGGGCCAAGTCCCTGACTGGGTACGGGGCTTGGACCTCAACACACCCCATCAGTCCAATTTCGGAGTATGCCTGCGAACGGTTCGGACCTGAAGCTCTAGCTAACAGAGCGGCCGAACGGGCAGATGTGAAATTCATTTCCCAGAAGCTGTCTAACATGCGTAGAAATTCAGAAGCCCTTGCTGTCAAATAGTCATACCGCTGCCCGACAGCCATTGCAGGCGCAAGGAAGAATTTGAAAAGCTGACATGACCGCGGAGGCATGTTGGCACTTACACGACCAACCATAACCATTTTTCCTTGCAGTAAGAAGGGCTGGAGGGATGTCAGCGATGACTGCCAATCCCCTGTGCCCCTCTCCACTTCAAAGATGCCTCCTGCATGCCAGCAAAACTTGCAAGCAGCAGCCGTGAGCTCAAAATCTGACTGCCTGGTGTTCTGGACCCCCGACTTCTGACCTGATGCCCTGCGCTCCCTGAACATCTCCTATACAGCTTCTTTCAAAACTCCCAAAGCTTCGGCAGCCATCTGGAGGCAGGGCATCCCAGCAGTACGATGTGGATTGTTGCGGAGGCGCAGTCCGACAGTTGACAGTTCAGTGTAGCCTTCGTGATTCTGGGAAACTGCTGTGCACTAAAGCTTCTACGGAACATGCCCAAGGCAAGGGACCCAACCAGCACACAAGTAGGGAAGGGTTGCAGGCGCAAACCTTCCCTATGTCTTATGCAGCATGCAGTGAAAGCTTCCACATAGTCTGCGACAACAGTCTTCTAATCCAAAGCTTTCTGCCTGAATGTGCTGGCACTCAACCCTTCTGGGCGGTACGTGAGGAAGGACAGGCGATCAGATGACCTCACAACTCGAACTTCAGAGGCCTCGGCGTAAGTTCAAGCAGCATGCAAATGTGTTGAACATTGTTGAACAGAAGGCGAGGCTGTGGGCTTACCGAGGCGTCCGGCTGTGCGGCTTCTCTATCTCAGCTCCACTCAAATGAAAATCCTACCGCAACTGCTGAGGCCTGCACTCCGCAACAAAGCTGCGTAGTTTCTGGTAGCTGTCTGTTACGTATTGTGCCGGCAAGAGCTTGACCAAGGCAGTCAAATTCATGTGGCGCAGGGTCCTTACTGGATGGGCCGTGACCAACTTCAAGTCAAGCCCTAAAGTGAACAAGGGTCAGCAACAGGAAAAACAACTTGCATCTAGCGTTGAGCATCTTCTTCAATTTGCACAGCTCTTTGCGGGGCATGTTGTTGATCTCGGAATTCTCGGTGCACGGCATCTTCCCCTCCAAGGTGCGAATGAAATCCTCTGCCTGCTCCAACACTCCGGCTGCCTTGGCCTGCTCCCTGATATGTGGGATCAGCAAGCCAAGCAGCTCTCCGTCTGTCAAACGCTGTACTCGGGCCCTTTGGTTCTGATCCAACTTCGGAATGGGGGAATGCTGGCCGTGATGGCAGAACTGGCACAGAGCGCCCTGCTGGCACTGGCTGCCCTTCAGAATGTACACACAGGGACGATGGCACATCTCAGGATGGCCCCAACTTCCCCAACTCAGTGATGCTGAAGTCACTGAAGTCGTGGTCTCCTGTGGTGGAGGAAAGTTTGCCACGATGGAGCTCAAGATCTTGGTTGCCTGAGGGGAAGTCATCCTGTTCAAGTGGGCGCCTGCCTACGTGGCGTAGTCTGACAGCTTGAGTCTCACAAAAATGGCTCGGAAGTTGGATGGCTGCATGTTTTGTGGTCTCAAGAACTGCATGCGGAATTGTCTCCGCGCTCTCACATCAACACATCTACAGGGCCTTCTTCTTCACTTCCCACTTCTGTCCTCTTCGCTTCCAGTACTTATCGGTTTCCGTGGCCTGGCCGCAATAATGTAATTGTTCGAAGGATCTGCCCTCGATGGCGGCTGTCCACAGCGGCTTGGCCATGCCAACCCTGCAAAAACTTATACCAGGAATAATGCTAGTTGATACGGAATTTCAAAGCCTTCCAACACACAGATATCTGAAGCCTTGTGTTTTTACCTCGGAAGCCGTCTGCCTTGTTATCCACTGGCATCGGAGCGAAGTAGATCTCCTTAGACTTCAGGTCTGGAATGCTTCAACTCAAAGATGCATCCTGGGCCCTAAGACAAATGCAAATTAGGGATGCAACACACAACTAGGGAGAGCTAGGCGTGCAAGAAATCGAGCAAGAGCTACACTCCGGATTTCTCCTCTGAAGCCTGAAACTCAAAGACGCTAAGGGCTAAAACAATAGCTGCTGCTTCCATGATGCACCGCATGAGGTACAGCTGATGGTTCCACAGCAATTTATGCATTGATTGGCCGGAAGGTCGTTGCAAGCAACAGGATTCCTAAGGCCACGCCAGACTTTAACACCAACGGCAACCAGGCTGGACTCAGGCCGCCAATTCATAGCTGCTTGTACTGTAAAAGCTGCCTTTTCGGAGGATCTCGGGTCGCAGCATCACCGAACTTCAGTCCGACGCTCTCGTCAACCTGCACCAGATGGAAACCGAAAACTAATGCCCAAAGAACGTGCCCAACTTGCACTTCATCAGAACTTGAGCCGTAGAAACATCATCATACCTCCAACCCACTGCAAGAATGCGCCAAGACCCGCCCTACCGACGACAGACAAGACCACAACGCCGCCACGGTGTTGAAGTTGTGGGTGAGATTCAGCCCGGGAATAGAAGATGTCTTCCAGGCTCGTCCATGCAACGCAGTCCTCCCTACTTTTTTCGCAGCAGCGCATGTGACTCGCACCTTTGTGAAGAACTGGTTCATCAGCAGGCGGCCCTCATCAAACTTCTGCCTTGCGGTGGCAATGTTCTCCTGGACCCGAAATGGTAGGGCATTGTCGAATGATGTGAACCCTTTGCAATGAACAATTGGCCAAGGCATGTATGAATTGTTTCCGTGAGTGCATTTTCCTACGACCATGCCCCATTCTGCCTCAGCGACCCTCCCTTGCAGAGTCCTCCCGTGCAGCCTTGCCCAGCTGATACTGGTTCACTTCGAACTTCTGAAAGATCTCCCGGAAGCACAAGTACAGGAGCAGCACGTTGACATCATGAAGTAGAAAGAACAGGGTACTGAAACTCCCGCTATCGTGCTTGCATGTGAGACAACCGCCCGCCATGGCACATGTCATGAGCTACCTTGACGAACAACAGGTCATGCAATGGCACCACTTGGCCTTTATCATGTTGCAGTAACTTTGCAAAAACTCTAATGCAGCTTACTTTGAAGAGTCACAAAAGGGCAACTAGCCATCCATTGAGAATTGGTTCCCGTACACACTTTCAGACAATAGAATCCACCTGGCAAAGACTGCCAAGGAAGACTTCAAAATTCCTGAGAACCTTTGAAATTCCTGAGAAATTCCCGCATCCAAGCTTGAAGAGGGCTACCTCTACCATGAGGGCTCCAGCCTGCTGCAACTCCTCAGAAGTGTCTGGATCCACAGCATTGCTCAGGGACACATCCCTGAGAAATACTGTCTCCAAGCAGCGTCAAAATGCACTTTACAACCGTAGAAGGCATGTATCGTACTCGAATACTCTCAGACAAACCAGCACGCGAAATGATCGCGATAGGCTTCGCTTGGAAGAGGCGATGCTTAGGTAGAACCAGAAGGTGCTAAGTATGCTTACCATCAAGGCAGGGCTTCGTTGGCTTGGCATAAGGCATGAAGAGACTTTGAGCGCGCGGCTTCATGGGGTAGAGGATGTTTCGCTCAAAGGATGAAATGGAGGCACCGGCGCCAGCATTCTGACTGACGTTACCCTTGTACCTGGCATTCCGAGGGACCATGCCACTCCCGAAGCAAAAGCCAAGTGGACCATGCTCAGAAGGCGCGACCCAGCTGTTTGCCTCTAGTTTTTGTCGACGTCCAGCATCCTAATCGGAAGTATAAAGAACACTGCAGGGCTTGGTACGTATACGCTTGGCACTTAAGGCAGAATTCTCAGCATTGTCATTGAAAGATCGGTTCTGTGATAGGAGGGCAGCTGCTGGGAGTTCTGATTCACAGGTCCTGAACGAATCAAGAGTTCTGGGGGCAAAATGACGCAGGATCCTGAGTTGCGGTTAGTACAAAACTATGGCAACTATCATGTACTCGCAAAAGCATGCTAGGATCATTAAAGCTTGGCTCACATTTCGCGGAGGTTCTGCAGTGACTTCACGTCCGGGCATGCAGCGCCCATCTCCTGCAGCACATGGTGAGCCAACATGGGAATTTCTTGCCTAAGCAGGTGGCCGATCTGAATCTCAGTGACTTGTTGAGGGACGAACAGAACATCGCGTCTTTTCTTCTCCGTTGGGCTCTGAGTTGGCTTTCGACTCTGATGCTCACCAACTCTACCAAGCTATGAACATGCTTTCTTTGCTGACAGTTTCTTCTTGAGACCTGGCCTCGGAGACACAAAGAGTATATGTATCCCTGCCTTGCACATCTCTTCGCTGACTATGTTTTCCGTGGGGTGCACCAAAGGCTTCACGTCGAACAAGTACCTGTTCAAGGATTAGTTCGTCGAATGCCGACATTACCCCTGATCCTGAATAAGCGGGCCCCAGACCACATTATAGCAGACCTCAACACGAAACCAGGTCCAACATTACGCTCACAAAGGCTTCTATGAGTACTAGACGTGTAAGCAGGAAAGACGACCTGAACCCTGCTCAGTTTTCCATCGATTTGCATTATCATCTTCAGTCTTTTTTTGATTCCAACGGATCTTTACAATGCTCCTAGCTTGGAGGCACCAGTCCGCCGCAAAGTTCAAGACACGTGCCTGCAGAAGAGGAAAACCCTCACAAAATTAAAATTTGCAAGCATTTGTCATGCCACGACTTCCTGAAGTAGGCTTGCTGAAGGAGGTGCTGCAAGTTCAACATGCGCATATTCAACCGGCATCTCAACAGTATCCAAGCACAGCCTTCTCACGAAAGTAAGCCAACCTGTCCTCCATCTGGTACCTCAGCCCATAGGCACTCACACCTCCCGCACTTTTCAGGATAAATCAATGGCCATGAGAATTCTCAATACGAGGACCCTGACAGAAACTGAGACACATCAACGCAAATACTACACATGCCGGGGAGCACACTGGGCCCAAGCTGCCTGAAGATGAGATAAGAAGCGGAGCTTGAAGCTGAGAAAAACTTGGAGAGCCAGCTCTTGGACGTGGCCTGAGGCATGAAGAAAGAGGATCCGGCCGCAAGCATTGCCTCACTGAAGCCAAGGAAACTTGCAAAAGCTGCATTGACCCTACGTCCAGCCCTGAGACTAGACGCCCTTATTTCTGTGAGCTTTCGGCATCTCTGCGCTGGCAGCGGTCGCTTCCACCAGAGCGGCGGAGTGCGGCACCTGAACTCGGCAACTGGAAACTGCGGTTTTTTTGTTAGTGCTAAGGGAGTGCAGCAGCCTCCAAGACAGGCTGCCATGGCAGCCAAAGCAGACCAAACGGGGGTTTGCCACTGCCTCCAGTTCTACATGTCAGTATGGACTTCAAGCTCAAAAAACCGTAAAGTAAACCTTGCATCTTTTTGCTCAAGAGAGAGTTGTGTGTGATGGGGGCTGGCGCTCTGATATGCAAACCAAGGCCTGGTGGAAGCTGCTGGGCTCTCCGCATGCATGCTGGAAGCTGCCAACTGCCTGAGCCCGCACTAAGCGGCTCACTTTCGGGGATGTACTTTATCTACTCTCACTCGCTGATGCGTTCTTGCTCTGACACTTGACGGCCCCGAGGCCGCGGCGAAGCTGCGCGGTCCTCGAGTCAAACATGACTAGCTGAAGTTTCTAAGCATTCGCGTGCTTGCAAGCTCCCAGGCTCCTTTCTTGTGATGCCGAGATGTGGCAGACTTGGAGCGACGAAACCTTGACGCAACAAGATGCCAAGTACGCTGCCGCCCTTCAATCTGTAGCTTTGCCAGCAAAAGGAAGCCACTCTGAATCAGGCAATGGAAATAAATCCAAATCATCGAAAAGATAAACCCTCAACCTTCTACCAGATGCCCAGCTGACATGGAACAGCATGCCAAAGCAGTACTGGACAGACTGTATATGAATGGTGCCAATACACGTGCTATCCGCCCCAAGTTGAGCTGGCGAATTTGGCCAAAGCGGGCTGTGTTCTGCACAGGTCTCCTCATTTGTCTCCAAGGTTGCGACTGAGCACGGAAGCCCCGAAGAGCAGCGCCATCCTGGCAGCAAAAGTCATGATTGGTCAGTAGGGACTGTCAGGAGGATTGCTTTAGGGATTATATCCTCCCTTCCTTCCTACTTGTACTGCCATTCGGGAGGTGCCTTGTGGGACAGTTGCTTTCAACAGGGAGGCATTTATTTTGAAGGATCCCTGCATGAGGGAGAGTGTGGAAATTTCTCTTCGCACCTGCCGGCTACTCAGCTCAAAAGGAACACATCTGGCACCAGCTTATGAGATGTAGCCATGGCCAGCCGAGGCCCGTGCCCAGGCAGCAAAGCTCGTGGAAGAGCCATGGCTTTGGGTGTGCACCACACAGACCGGCACAGTTGTTGTCCTGCGCAATTGTACAGTGACCGAAATCTGCGCCTTTTCATGTGAGAGTGTGCTTTCTCAGAGCCGGGTTGGATCATGGCGTCATGCCGGCTTCTTGCTACAATTTTCTTAGGGAAGCACGTTGCAAAAGGTCTGCGACTTTTTTTGCATCTCTTAGGAGCGCTGTAAGTTTAGCCGCCCAAACGCATGCCTGTGCCTTGGAAAGCCTGGAAGCTGGGTGGCTGAGGGCCAGGAGTCTCACCTGGCATATGCCCTGGGGCACCAGGGGCACCGGGGGCACCGGGACCAGGGAAGTTCCGCTGGAGAGGTGCCATGGGTCCGTCAGCCAGAGTCGCATTTATCTGGTTGTGCAGCTTGAGACCTTGGTAGGCCCCAGCACCCTGACAAGCGAAGGAAACCAGGACAAAGGGTCCTCCCACGAAGAGCTTCAGTGTCAGGAAGATGGCATTGAGTCCAGCCAGGAAAGAGTACGCCATCACGCAGCTCAAGCCGTGCCCTCCCACCGTGCATTGACCAAGCGGACTGTGTGCCAAGCAGGCGTAGCAAGGCGCCACATTCGGGTCGTCGCTCAGCAGGAAGATCCCGACTATCCCTGACAAAAGCTCATTGATGGGTATATCGCCAGTGCAGAAACGCCCTATGGCAGCCACGAAGGTGCCGATCACGCAGAATCGGATCCGCCGCATCTTCTCCAGCATCTCCGGCGTAGGCGGGCCGACGCTGATCGGGGCTGGCCCGCCCAGCGGAATCATGGCACCAAAGGGAGCTGAAAAGTACACTCTGCAGCACAACTGGGCTTATCGGAATTGGCAGGTCTAGTCAAGTCACTGCATGTCACTGCCATGGATACCAGGATAACGATGTTTAGTACTGCTTTGAAGGCAGTCGAGTCTCTTTACCTGAATCAAACGCTGTCCATCTCTTGACAAGCCCTTTGGGCCAAGGCGATGTTGTCACCAGACATTGCGCAAGGCACGCGGTCCATCGTTCCAGGCGATTCCGTTGCCTTGGAAGCAGAAGCTTTTTTCCTCTGGTGTCTCTGCTCCATCAGCGCCTCCGCAGCAGCAGCTGTGGCCTTGCAGAAGAACCAAACATAATGGGACCTTGGTGGAGCTACCTGCTGCGAATATATTTCTACACAGCCGGGCATGCTCGAGGGCTGCATGGTGTGCCTGTTGGAAACTTTCTTACCCAAACCTACCAGCTGAAGACGGCACCGTCCTCCGTATGAAGTTCCAACAAACTCAGAGACCTAGCTATAGCCAGAAGAAGCTCATCATAACAATTACCCATCGCAAAAGATGGCGGTGTAATACCAGTAGCTGTACTCATGGCCCTCCTCTGCTCGCATCTGGGATGCCGTGCGACAGCACCAGCTGCCCAATCAGCATCGACAGATTTCGACCTCTTGCTGTCAGCACGTGTCAGCCCTTTTCTGGTCACATGTTACCTGTGTTCTGCTCTTTCCATTCTACTTTGTCATGTGCCCGCAGAAAAGACTTTAAGAGAAGGGTGGAATTTGAGTATTCATCCCCCTGAAAGTCGTGTTCAGCAATTTTCGGGGCTTGACAGCACTTAATAATTTCTGAGGTCATGATGATCGAGCATAGAGCTGTGCTGCAGATGTAAGTCCAGGACACATAACGGACTCCACAGGCGCTGCAGCGGAACGCTTTCAAGTAAGGCACACGATGAAGACACCAGTTACTACCCTGGCAGGGCAACCCCAGAAGCTAATGAATCAAAAATCACCAGCACGAGCTTCCTTCATCGAAGCCCGCCCGGTCTTGCTTTTCTGAGCTTGCAGCTGCAGCTGCCTCACTCGCATCTGCGCCCGATTTTTCGCATCCTGTTCAGGCAAGTTTTCCTGCGACATGTCCCGAGCGAATCTCGGTCCAAGAGCACACAACGCTTGCGGGGCTCTTAGGCTTCGGGGCGCCTTCGCAGCGGTCAGCTCCTTGGCCAGGGCCTGGCATGCCGTGTTCGACCTTAGGATGCTGAGATACAGGAAGGCACAGAAACCCGTCACGTGAATCATTGTGAGTCCTGTTCGTAATAGCTTTATCGGATGTCTCTTCAGACCGGGTTCTGGAACCTGGATTTGCACAGGCAATGATGGAGAATCAAATGAAAAACAAAATGGAACCTGGAGTGTGTCTGGTAGTTTCCATTAATCAGGGACCCCAATATAGACGCCCAGAACACTGCAATCCTTATTGCACTTGTTATAGGGACCCCCACCCCATGTAGGGGCTTTGAGAAGCACGCTCCTCCAGCACCGCAGCCTGGAGCTTGAGTTCCTCACCTTGGCTTTAGAAACCAAGCCACCAGCGGCTGTTTGAGCGAAAGTCTCAACTCCTTAAAGGGGGTTGTATAGGGGATTATATAAGGGAGGATGGTAGGGGCTATTCAGGGGAATACCAGGAGCTTGGACTGTAGCTCATTTGGCATCAAATAGCGCACACTTTACATGCCATAAAACCGAAATCCGCCGAGGCCAGAGGCCTGGGCGTTTAGATCCACGGCTGGAGTCTAGGAGAGTAAGTTAACCCTCCCCCTACCCCTTCCCAGTTCGCACGATTCTGGGCGGGGGTCCGGTCGCTTTTTTGGAGGTTTCTAGGGATTCTAGGGGGCGCAAGGGGGTCCAGCTCATGTATGACGATGCTTTGGTGCAGTTCCGCATCCGTGTTTTGAAGATCTATCGGGTTCAACCTCACGCGAGAACGTTGAGTGGTGTGAGAACCGCAAGTGAGACATGTGCTCTCTCCCCTCGACAACCTTTGCCGAGGCGGTCTCGCGTTAGCGGTTCAACTACTACAGTGCCCACAGGATCTACGGTTGCTCCGGGTCACGCATCTTTCGCAGCTCTGCGTCGCGGCGCTTTGCTTCTGCAGCGCTGAGGGTGTTGGCGCGCTCCACCTTTTGGGTGGGTGCTCTTCTCATCAAGGGCTTGTTGTTCATGGAATTGCTTTCAGGCACCTCAGGGACAGGAACCCAGCCCCCTAAACGGAACAGCGCCTCGTCCAGGCGCTGTTTCAACACATCCCGCTCCGCCTTGCGCTCCGCAGGATGCTAGCCGTTTCAAATTGAAACACTGGGTCTCTGGATGTGGGCTGCGCATTGATTTGCATCCGTGCAGCCATAAAAGCTCCCTAGCCCTTGTAGGGGCTGTGAATCCCTATCGATGTGCGGTTGGCAGATCAGAAGAAAATTCTAAAAGTGTAGGGCCCCACATACGGGGAATGGTACAAAGCCACTTGTCGCAAAGCACTTGCTTCGACTCACAAATTGAAATACAGACTTACTACTACGCAACCACAATGTAACTTTTGCCCGCAACGCTCACAATTGCCAGCTCAACGCAGACCTTCTGGACAAAGTTCGCCTTGTTGGGGTCAATGAACTAAACAATGATAGGATATGGTATGCCTCCCCACTGGCAGGATGGACATGCCTGTGAGTTTCATGAACAAGGGCTTGAAAGATTGGCCAGGCTGTCCTAAATTGTCCAGCCCTACCCTGTCCACAAACGGTCTGACGTCTGCAGCACATCCGGGCCAAAGAAAAGCCTGGAAGATGATGGCAATTCAACGGGGAAGAGGGGGGCGAGTACTTCACCCTCTCGGCGATCGGGGCAGAGTGTCCCTGCTTGTAGGGGTTTGTCAGGATCCCAGTTGGAAAAGGCAGTCCTCCATGTATGCCAGGCAAAACAAACCTTGATCACGCCAAGAATGAACGTTGCCTGGTGCCGTAGGGATGCTGATTGCTGGCAGTTCTTCTTCGTGTGACTCTTCCGCTGGATGCACTCCTTGCAGTTCCAAAAAAGGCGACAATGCTTAGCAGGCCATCTGCTGAACCGAGGCATTGTACAAGTATCGTGTTCATCTCGTCGCAGAACTGCCCAACGCCTGTGACAAAAGCCATTGCCCTTCCTGATGATGCTCACCCGCAATCCCGAATTCTGATGCTGGAAAAGCAACCGCTCAATTGCAAACTCGCTTGGGTCCTGGTGCAGCGACACTGCATCGAGTTTCTGTCCAAAATAAAGCCCCGCTGAAAGTTTCCATCAGCCAGCTAATGTCAACAGCCACACTCCGCTTCCCTAGGACCAAATCTTCAAGTCCTTCATTGTTCGGGCATGGTTGTGGCAACAAATCGTTTGCATGGAGACACTCATGGACAGCCTGTGAATTCCACAGGCATTGTCATTGTCTGCCCAAGAAGCACCTGCCAAAAAAATCAAGCCTTGCAGCGCACTTTCTGAACACATATTCAGGTCTCCTGCGCGGTGTTTGCGCTTGCTGGATCTACCGAGCCCGCATGCCCACGCACACCCCGTCCCACAGCCCAAACTGCCGAAGCATGTCTTCCCAGAGCGCATACTGTCCAAGAGGCCCCTGCTACTCCAGCCGCACATGGAACCACGTGGCCTGTGCCCTGGTAGGTGTACTGGTCCGTGTTCAGCATCTTCAGTCGCTGGATCTGCCCACGCTCTGACCAGGCGTGTAGTGTGGTGGGCTGACGCTTGGCTCGCAGCCAGCAAGCTGCTTGAAAACATGGATGCTGATAATGGTCTGATCAAAATCGAAGTAGATGTGCCGGCCGCGCATGCTTGCTCTCACTTTAATTGGCCAAAGATCTTGGTGCTGACCTTTGCACTTCAAGTGCGGAGGTCAGCACCAACACAACTTGGCTCGTTGGACCTTGCTTTGTACACACCGTGAAGCCCACAGGCTCTGCTGCTTGGACGGGACATGTAGGGACACACAGTTGCCTCCGGCCTTGCAGATACCGCTGGTCAACCCAAGTCACCAGTTAGATTTCTGCCTGCGCGGCGCATTGTTTCCTCCCTCAGTCATCCCAAGCACGCTGCGCCTGATGCCCTTGCAGCACTGACGCAATTTCTTGAGGATGGTTATCACGCCTCATCGACGGTCAGGCACTCCCCAGACATCAAGTTCTGGATCAGGTTCACCTGGGACTTGAGCAGCTCACAGTCGGAGCTGCCTTCCCAGCAGGGCGGCCCTGGATTAGCACGGTCAAAGTCCTTGAGAACAACTCTGAGCTCGTCCCTACTGGTCGAAGCCACCGTCCCAAAGATGGACATCATGTCGAGGGTGGACAGTTCCAGCGCCGACTTCATGCATAGCAACGATGTCCCGTGCGGGCGCCATGGAATGAATCGCGCTCTTGCCCCTTGGCTTGGCAACGTTGAGCTCATCCCCGCCACAAGCGTAGCTGCTGCGAACTGGAGCAGGCTCAGTTGCTAGGTCCAGCACAGGTGCACAGCTCAGGATGATGGCGGGAAACCGAGCGCCGCGCATTCTGAAATGCTGCAGGACATGACAAACGCTTCAGCTCTCCATCACTTCAACGGAAGCAGACAGGATACTTGATCTTTCTGAAATCCCTGTATGAACAGACTCCCAAGTACAGGAAGTATTACTGTGCAGAGCTCCCGTAGAGGTCAGGGTCTCTCGTGCTCCGGTATCATACGTCCTCCTTTCTTCCATGCTTCAAACACTTGGCATCACACTTCATGATCTGCAGGGAGAAAGCAAACCCTGTACTTCCACAATCTGCATCAACTTTCTCAAGCTTGAGTCTGCAAGGAAACACATCACAGCCACAGCAGAAGGCTACCCTAGGCATCAGTACTTGTAATTGCAGCTCTCCCAACATCGCATGGAATAGGGCCCGCACCCGCGATTCGCACAGGAGTACGCAAACGGCGTGAAACACCTCCGGGCTTTGCTCCCATTGTGCCGGGAAGGGCTCCAGTTACGTTGCTCGGCGATGGCAGCCAAATAGCTAGCAGGTTGTCGACTCCATGACTCTCCGCAGCAGTACTCCGTGCACAGCTGTCTTTGCATCTCAAACCTTTACATCATGAGAAAGTTCAGTTTGGAAATCCCATCTAGCTGCATGGTCAACCCTTTCAAGTAAGGCGTTTGTGCCCGCTGTGGGACTGTGGGCTTCTTGGGATCTTACATTCTTACATTCACAGAGATGGTTCACAGGACAGTCACAAGTGCTGCACCTGATCGTAGTTCTCGGGCCGCGCAAGGCAGTCGCGCACTTTGGCCCAGAGCCGTGGGTCCGGCACAGGCGGAGCTGGATGGCCATCCTCAGCTCTGAAAGGCTCTGAGGGCCCCCAAGCGCAAGGAGGGGAATTCCATGTCAAGGCTCCAGGCTTTGGGCTCCTTTGCCGTGCTCAGCCGCCTTGGGGGCATCCAGAAACGCAACTCCAACTCCGACTCTCCGACTCCAAAAGCGAGAAGGTACTCCCAAAGCATCTCGGAATGCTTGCCCTGGGATTTCGGTCATGCAAAGCTCGAGAACAATGAGTACAATGGTGCAGCACTTCTGCGTCAGCGTCTGTGCGTCTTCTGTACTGAATGCTAGAATTCCACCAGGCTTCCAAGAGCTCGCCACACCCCTCACCTGGCATCAAGCCTCTTTTAAGCCTTTTCCGCAGCCCCATTTCTCTGAGTCTCAGGCCCCCACCGCGAACTGCTCTGCATGATGCTTGGAGTTTCGCTTCGCGATCGCTGCAGCCCTGTCAGCGGGTGATCCGCGAGGGTCTGGGATTCCAGGATATGCCAGGATAAGCTTGCGTACCCATGGCACCTGACATCTCCCCAGGCTGTGGAGCTTCCGGAGCTGAAACATGGCTGAGAAAGATTTAAAGAGCACAAACTGCCGCATCCTTACAGTCGAGTGAGTGGACTCAAGTTAAACAACAGGCCAAGGCTTGTCCAAGTATGTCGTATAGTCTTGCATCCTAGACAGAGTCGGAAAGTATGCAAGTGCGCCTGGCTGGCTACGGCTACAGCGCGGGGGTGCTTCCCGCCTCAGTTCAAGTCAGGGTCTGGGGCTTTGAGATCTGAGCGCGCTGAGCTTGGCCGCAAGCTGACCGTGCTGTTGGTGGTGCGGAGAAGCGGGCTGCCACAGGCTCAGAGCAAAGAGCAATTGCAGAGGAAGTTGTTCCCCCCTCTCAGGCCGAACATTGAGCACATTCGAGCAGCCGCAGCAGCCCCAGGGTTTGACAGCAAAGAGGAGATTCGTCCTTTGCCTCGGGCTCGGCCTGGGGAATCGGCCGTGGTTCCTTGCAGCAGACACTTCAAGGACACCCGCCCGCATCCCCAAATATCACACGTCTCGTTAGTCTGCCAAGATAAGTGATCGCCGCGTCCAATGCAGGCGAGGCAGCACCCTGAAGATGTAACATCTATAGTACAGGCCGGAGAATGTTCCAAGTGGATGGCCTCGCTTCAGCACATTGGCTGAGGCTAGGACGGCTAGGACTAAGACTTACGGGCCTACACGACTACCGCGTCCGCCCTCAACAGGCGAAACTACTCAAAGTCGCGGCTCTGCGGAATTGTGGTTGCCCCCCCTCGACAGGGAGGACCGTGCCCTTTTTCGCCAGTCTCAGACCCGTTGGGAACCGGCATGTACACCTACACAATAAAGCGAGCGAGTGCTCACAAGGCTTCAACCACCCTCCCAACACTTGAGAAGTGTCGTTTAATCACTGGTGGGAGCTGCTGGGGGGTGGCGGGACTTTCCTCTTGCGTCGCTCAGTGTCCTAACCAATACCTGAGAGGCTGGGGCAGGCCTCTTTCGCCGCCTGTGGCATCCTGTCGTAAAATACCAGCTCGACGGCCTCAAGAATGGAGAGCTTGAGGTGTGTCCCCCCTGTCCAGTCTGACTCAAACAATGCTTGGGCCAAGACTTTCGTGCAGCCTCGCAGCTCCACGAGGGGGTAAAAGGGGCCCCGCAATGGGAGCAACGCCTCCGCGCAATCTGTCGATCAACCCTTCCGCATACGTTCTTCACCTTGGTTTGCTGGCAGCAGCCTGGCAGGAGGCCACGCTTGTGCCATTCACCCTCACCTGCAGTGTCTGGAGGCAATCAGAGAAGCGCCAGCCACACGGAGAGCCGAGTTGTCTGCTTGGAACTCACCACCAGCACTCAGAAAAACATGCACCTCCGGCTGGGACGCGTCTGACAGGGATTAATGCTACAAGGCCTGTCCAGGAGGTTTCATTGCAGAAGTCTGAAGCCTGGTCGCCCACTTGCAAAGCGCTCGTGTCCCAATCCACATCATGGCCTCAGGGCTCTCTGCACAATGTCTATCAACCTGAGCCATCGGTAAGGACGAGCCACACTGGCTGCCGTCCCAAAGAGCACCCCCGCCGCCAGCCACGATGCTGTCTGAGCCATGCCAAGGATCGCAAGATGATAACATCGCAAGGTTCCCAGGTTTGGAACAGTTTTCCATGCACAGCTCTGCTCCAGCCTGGAACGTCTGCAGCAAAGTCGGACTCACCCCGCAAAGCAAGGCCTGAGGATGACCACGATGGACCTTTTGCGCATGCAAAGAAACATGCGGGCACCGGCTATCTGGGCTCGTCATCGTGAGGCCGACCTCATGCAGAACCGCAAGCCAGGCGTGCTCTACATGCTCACGACAACTCAACCTAGCGCTGTACCCATAGCCCAGAACCAATGCCACAATCGATGTCCACATCAGCAATGAGGAGGCTGAAGCCCTTGTCGTGCCCAAAACCGCCGCAGCTCCGGCTTTGTCAGGAGGGGATCTGAGCAGCGGACCCATCCAAGCCTGACGCCAGATCCACTTGCAGGGCCTCGCGCCACTGGACGCTTCAGTTCGCAACTTGCTCTTACAAATAGGCGTTTGGCCCCATGTAATGTTTTTCCTGAGCCGGGTGACAAGGCGTTCGCGCGATGGCAATGCCTTGCATGGCATCTGTGAAGACACTGGAAATACCCTTGCACCAACTCGCACGAAAAACTTTGCCATCGCATCATGCCTCGTGGCACACCTTTCCGGCTGGCAGTGGCCTTGCAGTTTAGATCAAGCATGACCAAGCTGAGTATACACATTCACTTGAACACAGCCCTCGAAGGCTGTCATCTTCTCCAGAACTCTCCGCACTTCCCAACCGCGTGCTCATCCGAAATTTATTGATCGCTTGGCTGCACCTGGCTGCGTCCGGAAAGCGCGAGGCTCTCGCTGCTGGCACGCCGGTGGAAACCGAAGCCCTTGCAAAATCATGCTTCTGCCCGGCATGGACCAAGCAAGCATAGCAGCCAGTGTTCTGAGCACCCAGCGGCAGCTGTTCGACTTCCCAAGGCCATAGCAGCATGCCGGATGAGGGCAGGCTTAAACGCTAAATCACAGAATGCTGGCGTGCAGCTGAATCCAACTCGCGGTTCACAATAGCCTGGTGTGCTATCGAGCCTATGCAAAAGCTTCCATCGGTCAACCGTGGAAGGCCCATGGGTCGACTGGCTGATTCCTGTTGTGACGTCTGATTCTCACTGCAAAGACAGAGCAAAAGGTGGGGGCTCTCATTGCTCTTCCTGGCCCACGGACTGCTGCGACAGGAAAAGCGGAGTGCAGTGGCCTCCTTTTGGGCAGCTCTCGATGAGTCAGGTCTTTACAGGCCATGCCTGGAGAATCCTGTGAAACCTGCCTGGAAGCCAGCTCTATCCAGGAGTGAAACGGCTATGACTCAGCTCAGGCTCCTGCAGGCTGAGCTTGACTTGCTGCTTTGCCCAGGCTCTGAGAATTTGAGGACAGGGCTTCAGATGTGCCGCAGTGTCAAGCTGCAACTGCAACACTGACAGCTCGAGGGTGCAGATTTCTCACGTTCATTGTTGTAGGTGACTCTCTAAGACTACCCGGTCTCTCCTTCGAATCTGGACTCCTCCAGGCCGTTGAAAACCTGCAAGGAAAAGACGGTGTCCCCTTTCCCCGAGTTGAACCCTGCCATGGTATCCTTCCTCCATCGCAGAAAGTAAAGCGTCGTTGAATTTGGGGCGTTCTTCGGCGCAAGCTGGAGACGAAAGAAACCATTGATATTTCCCGTAAGTCAGGCCCCGCAAATCAGACAATCATGACCTGCAAGAAAAGGTGCTCAATGTAATCATCAATCTAGAGGAAAGGTTGCCTTCCAGATGATGGCGGCCGTGCTCAGGCCGATGCAGCCGATGACCTCTGCTTCACTCCAAATTTTCAGAGGTCCTGAGCTACTTCTCGGCCGTACTTAAGAACAGACCTAAACCAGAGGTTGCAACAGACAACCCAAACCCTTAAACCCCGAATCCGGCGCCTCTTTGTGAGCTGTCGGGCCCATGCTGAGGAGCTTTGGCCGGATGGACGTGTAGATGGCCAGGAGCACTCCCAGCCTCCAAGACTCGTCTTTTCATAAGGACAACTTAGAGTCCACGTAGAGAAGTAGTAGGGCTTTGAGGCAGTTTAAAGCTTGAGTTAAACATCGATTTGAAATCGAAGAGGTGGAGGGATGAAGCGACAAAGCCAGCTGGCGAACAAAGTCTTTCAAAAGCCGCTATGAGACACGCTCCCGCACTCTGCACAAACCCGAGGCACTGGCAGGCATATGAACCAGGAGAGCATGACCCATTCCGACCTAAGAGCTTCTGAGCCGCCACGAGAATCAGAGAAGCTCCATGATGCTAGCAGCAAAAGAACTGGCAATCATGTAAACCCAACAGTTCTCTGCGAGATACATGGGTGCCAGAGCGGCTGTCAGAGAGGGTTCTGAGGGTGGAAAGCAGTCCCCAGAGTGCTTGTAGCCTTTGAGCGTTCTCTTGTTCAGTGATGCAGGTGCAAAGGAATCACTATCTCGAAGCATCCCCTTGGATGGGCGCAGTGAGGGCTCCGCAAAGCTAAGCTGCATGGCGTAGATACCCGCCCTAACTAGTTGTGCATCTCAGTTTAGAACTCAATCGGGACAGCACAAGAAGCCAGCGCCAGAGTCAAGTGCCATCTCAGCCTAGGCCTATCATGAAGCTGCTCTGTAGTAACCAAGTACGGAACCGTTCTAAGTTGAACACAAGGCAAACTGGGTCCAGCTAAGGCTGATGCAAGGACTGCACAATATCGAAGGTTGCGGACCAACAGCGGCAACTGGCATGCATGCGTGCTCAGCTAGGAGGCAAGTCCAGGAACACACGGTCATTAATAGTGATAACAGATTACAGTTACAGTAGCAAGAATAAAACAGTAGTAATAGCAGTACGTAATAAGTAGTAATAATGTGGATTTGCCAAAGGCATGTTGCATCCTGGCTCACGTTGGCAAAACATGTTCCAGAAATGACTGTGGGACTCTCAAAACATAGATCAGCTGTGGGAAGCACACGGCGTGGGGTGTTTGCGGAAAACGCCCCATCCGCCTCCCATCCCCCCATACCGCCCCATCCCCCCATCCCCCCCCTCTTATCCCCCCCCCATCCCACCCCTTATCCCCCCATTCATGCCGCTGTTATGGTTTGCGGTAAGGGCGTCGACGGCTCAGTGAAGTTGAACTGGTTTCTTGTCCTCGAAATTGTCTAGCCCATCCTGGACAAGGTACAAGTCACATTCTCAATTTTTGTTGCGCACCCTGAAGGGATGGCTGCAAATTCAACGAACTACAGGGTGGTGGCCAGCTCTACAGATGATGATCCCTGCCGCATTGCAATCTCAATCGCTTTTGTTGGCTGTCAGCCAACTGCGCAAGTTCAGTTTTTGCTACAGGTACCTAAGATCAGCTGAAATTCTCTTGGTCCGCAACTGGGCTGGCAGGAGAGCATGAGACAAAGTGCCGGCAAGACTAGAGATCATCGCGCTCCTGGGTCACGTGTCAAAGCACTTAGCACTGCTGGGCAGCAGCCGCGTCAGCAGGTCCTTCTATGCATGAAAGGAGTCTGCAGTGTAAAATGCTGGCTAGAGTGCTAGAGCACCGGCTTTGGATTTCGGATGAGAAGCCAGAGCCAATACTAGTTACCTCGTGAATTCAATGGCCAACGAACTTGGCTCCACAGCACAGGAGTGCGAGCCGATATCCTGAGGTCGGTTCCCGCAGAGAGGTCCACAGCGACAGGTCCCTCCCCGACTTCTGGCATGCCTGGCATGGAGAATGTGGATCTCACATGGCTCACTTGGCCAACAGATTCGCAATCAATATTTCCTTGCTTTCATTCCCTGTGGCAGGGTTCCTACTGACAATCTCTGATGAGAGCTTACACCCATTCCCTCGCTCCATGGCATCCCAGCATCCCTGTCTTCCCTTCCCAAGGGACAGGGTTGGCGGCTTGATGGCCTCAATCCGCTTCTGGCTGCTCCGGCCCTCCAGGTCCAGCGGCTGGCAGAATTCCTGAAAGGACAGACATGTTTGATTTAACCAGACCTTCAGGGCTGTCAGGGCTCCGGAAGGCGGGCAGCCCTTCCAGCCATCTGTGCATTTTGTCATAACCCAGGCGCCCAACCCGGGCAAGAACCACGGGCAGGACTCTCTTCTCGAAAGTACACCTTGCCCAGCGGGAGTGGTGGCCGTTGCGCAGGCAGCACAGATCCAAACTTGCAGAATTTGTGTCAAAGGCTTTGCCTGCTACCTTTTTCCTTGCTTCCCCTTGAGGGCTTCAATCTTCCAAGAGCCAGAAAGAGCTGATGTAGTTGGAGACCGCAAGCCCTTACTAAATGCTGGAACCAGGCCCCTTTCATCCACTTTTCTGGTGGCTCTTAAAGCCCTATGCCTATTGTTTTTGTTGGGTACATACTTCAAGGCCGTTTCGTGACTCCTGGCTTCTGGCAGACCCGAAGCTGCATTCATAACCATCAAGAGATCCGTTCTTGGATTCTCACGTGGTGCGGCTTCTGCCACTTGGAAAACGGAGCGTCATGCATTGACGGGGCTTGCCACCTTCAGCCTCCGCGTTTCAGAGGCATAGAAAGGGTGCCCAAGAGTCCACGTACCACATGTACGGCAACGGCATGTTTGCCATGCAGGCGAGCAGTTGGGTAAGCAGTGCATTTCCCCGCAGGTACGTGGACCTGCGAGCGGGGCTGCGTAACAGGAAGCCAGCTGGCAACTGCTTGGCAAAGGCCGTGGTGCACCGCGCATTCCTCCATGGTGCTACTCCAGGAAGTCTCTCGTTTGGTCGCAACGGCCGCGGCCACTGAACTGAAATCGAATCTTAAATGGGCTAATTCCCTGAGGCTTACGCCCGTGTTTTATTCATGTCTTCGAGACATTAACACGAACCCAGGCAGTATGAGGATCTGCTGCGGCCACCGCCTTGCGGACTGTATCCGACGTCACCCGAGTGGTGCATTGCTCCTGCGAAAAGCAGAAGAAACCCTTCCAGGAGCTCAAAGAAGATTAGAATTGCTTCCAGACAAAATGCATCTCGAGTGCCTCAGGATCCTCATCTGGGCACCCTCTTCCGGCCACACCACTTCCCGGTGAAGACTCTCCCACCCCCACCCCCAAGTCAAACTGACGGGGGGCTTTCATGCAGGAAGCCAGACATCTTCTTCCAGGTTCCCTTGCTGGAAATCTTCTTGCCAAGCTTCTCAAGAACGAGTGGTCTTAGGATGTCTTAGGAACCCAGGAAACCACTTCAGGTTGCCTAATGCAACGCTTCCTTTAGGAAGGCGTGGATACCAGGACCTGCAGCCAGGCGTGGCAAAAGCAAAAAGTCAGCCCTGGCATCTCCAAGCGAGATGGCTAATTGGCTCAGGGAGTGTCCAGCCCATCTGGCTCCAGGCCTTCAAGGGAACGAACGCCAGTGGAGCTTGCATTCTGCACATCATCATCCCAGTGCAAACCTAGTCACATGACATGGTAAATGTGATATCAACCATCTAAGCAGATCTAAGCGCACATCGGCCTGCTGCGTGGGCTTTGTTCATTTCGGCGAAGGCGAAGGCTGCTTTTTGGGCAATAGCCGTGCGGCGGACGATACCTTGAAGGCCTTGGGTGCTTGCAAGAGGTCTGCACTAGGAATAAGGGTACTTGGAGTCTTCGCAAATTTCAATATGTTGAGCGTCGCCACATCCCCCTTCAGGTAAAACAAGCTGCGTTTCAGAAACTGTGGTGTAGGCTCAGGGCAAGCAATGATGTTGTAGAAACTTCTTCGGTGTGGGCGCTCAACGTCAGGACAGTCTTGGGTCTACCGGACGGAAATTCTCTGCCATTTCTTCCTTGACAAATCAAATACAGTTCACTCAGCTTGCTGGGGGGTGCAAGGCAGCCATGACTGGGGTCCAAACATTTTGTCACCCGGTCATGCTCTTTCTTGCTGCTGCTCTGCCTGGCATAGGTAGAGATTGTGAGGTCAGCTTGCGTGCGCTTATCACCTGATGACCATGCCCAAAGTCGGATGCCGCACGAAACTTTACGCAAAGAGCTTTCGACTTAGTCATGAAGGCACGGAAAGGTACCAATACAATTTGCTGGTAAAATAAGCTGAAAGCAGAATTTGTGCTGATGCAATCAGAGTCCTTAGTCCTTACATGAACAACGTCTAATGCAGTCTGGCTGCATCTAGCTGAATGCAACTGCGCATTGCCATGTTCTAGCAAACCTGGACTCTATTGCATCCCCAAAACTCAAGTCTTTCGTTCTGAACCTGGATGGCTGGGATTGGACCCCAAACCGAGAGGTCGTGAACCTGCCGTCCGCCACCAGGGACATCAGCGTGCGATTGGCCCGCCGAGGCGAAACTGCAAAGGCTTTTTTCTTGCTGCTCGTTTAATCCCTCTTTGGCTTCGGAAGGCTTGCCTTCTGAGAGAGGCTGTGCTTGAGGTTTGGAGATTGGTGCCAATTCTAGGAAGTTGTTCATGCAATTAAGCCGTTTGATGGGCTCTTTTGCGCAACAGCCTGGTTTTCCAAAAAGAATCACACTGCTGTTAGCCCACAGGGCTCCAAACTTTTACAAACGACATATACGTGCGTAAGACCTCCTCCATCCTAAGAAACTGTGCCGCGATGCCTTTGACTGCCAGAGATGGTGCAGAGCTGGAGCTGTGCATTTTGTAGCTCTTCAAGCTGCCTGGCCAAGAGTGTGACCGGTCTTGGGCCATTCCACAACTACTCTAGTACGGCTGGAGATCTGCAGCATGCGGCGATTGCATACCGTCTCTGGTAGATAGTCTCTGGTAATTCTCTCTACATGACATTGTTATTCTTGCTTATCAGTGATCCACAAGTAGGGCATCCCGAGGCTAGACGGCTGTCTCCTTCCACATGGCTTGCAACAGTTTTGCGGCTCATCGTGGCCCTCTGTAGTGCCTCGAACTACAGCAGGCGAGAGGAGCTCGCAAGATTTGAGGGCCCAGGCCCTGAAACAGCGCAAGTTGACCAAGAACCAACAAAGGCTGCACAAAGGGCTCTGCCGCAACCATCCGCTTTCAATGAAAGTCCACACATTTGCCTTTCAAGCAACGTACATGCAAAGATGACGGACCTGCCCCATTGACAGCTAGGCCTTCTGTATCCTAGATGCTTTCAGGGAAATATCTCTCCTTCATGGCGCCCACGCGCGGTGAGCACAAGATTTGATGCTGGACTCACTATGCGCCTCGGAGAACTACTGCTTTCGTGGCGGATGCCTCCACAGGAAAAATAGCTCCCACCTTCCCACACACAGCGCTGTCGCATGCCTTCTGTGCCCATTATGTTTGCACAATCAGCACAACAGAAACCACTTCGTGGAGACTCCCGAAGGGTCTATCTCAGTGCCAGCCTTCGAAATCACCTGGCTGGGCCACAAAAAGTTGAGGAGTCATGCCCGTGACCTGTTCTGTTTAGTGCTGAATGTTTGTTCTTGTTGTGGTAGACTCTGGACCACGAAAGGTTGGGCTGACGAAAAAACCCTGAAGATGGTTAAGATGCACTACCAATAAGCGGCCATATTACGACTTCTTGTGCGAAAAGCTAGGAGAGCATGCCGCAGCTTAGCTCTTACAAGAGACTGCCATGGCTTCGGGGAGCTCTCTTACCCTTCAGAAGCAACAAGGCAAAGCAAACCAGAAAGAACCCTGCATCTAGCTGTGGCCTATGTCCACTTGGGCAATGCGGCAATGAACACTCCCAGGGCTCGCGCGTGGAAGCCAGGAGGTCTTTGAGTGCCAAGTCTGGGCCTTGCTCCGCGGACTGGCCTTGGTCACTTGGTCACTTGGTCACTTAGGCTTGGTAGGGATGGTCTGAGCCCAAGCGGTACTGTCTCAGCAGCAGAGTCGCGGCTTGGGAGGCTCTCAATATGCTGGGCTTCAGGGCTTGAAGCTATCTCGGGCGAAGGTAGCATGTCGAGCAATCACTCTTCTGCTATCGGTGGGACATGCCTCATGATCTGATGAAATCTCTAGGTTGCAATGTGCAGGCAAGCTGCAGGCGCAGGAAGTGTTGACCTCGCACAGCACAGGCATCCGGGTGCTTCAGCAAACACAAACACCGCAGTGGGCCCCAGAAGATAAGATATGGCAAAAAAAACATCCCAAACGATGTAAAACGAAACTGTAGAGAGTGCCCGTTTTCAACTAGTTTTGTGGGCAGCACATTCAAGACTTCAGGGCGCCTTTCTGTGCTGTACCCGGTTGTCCGCGAAGCCCCAGAGAAGCGCCTTCGTCCTCACAAAATTGTGCATCGCAGCAAGGTAGTGAAGATCGGCCGCACGCAAAGCGGCTGAAACAGCAAGAACGGGGAAAAAGTAATGTGGTGGACCAGAAGATAGCTTCGATCCAGACTCCAGACCACCTGGGTAGATTTAATCGATGAACGACTCTGCTGCCCACATGAGAGGCCTCAACAAATATGGGCCTCCTTGACAGATCCCAACGTGGAGACATCAACAGGGAGGCCTCGGCCTTCTCGTGGAGAGCGTGGTGAGCGCGGCCTACGACTGGCGTAGACAGGAGGATAGTTGCTGCAGGCCTCCTGCGCCACCTGAGCCGATATTTTGCTTCTGGATTCTGAAGAGCTGAGGTATGACTTTTCAGGATCTTCACTGACTGAATATGCCTCAGAAACCCCTGCAATTGAAGACAATAACTGTCCCGTGAACTCAAACAAGCTCGACAGGATGACCGCCAGATGACCGTCATGACAAGCCAGATGATATAACAGCTTCGCTACAAGGATCTCATACAGGCATCTGCCAACAGTCATGCCTTCTCGTGACTTCCGCCTTTGGAGCCACAGCAAAGCGGAAGTCACGCCTTAAGCCATGCCATGGCCTTCGTCCTCAAGTGAACCAACCGCAGACGGAACAATATCCAACAGTTCAAAGCCATATGATAGCCAGGTGTAAGTCTAACAACGCAGATTACCCAGGAGTATTACCCAGGAGTGAAGCACGAGAATGGCACCAATCCACCCCCAAAATACAGCATTGAAACGACTCTCATGGAGCCTCAGGAGTCACTGGGTTAAAATCAGATTTGGCTGCCAAAGAGACTCCTGTGAGCGCAAACCTATGCGATACGTGTCATGGTCACGTCATCCCTTCGTACTCTGTGGAGAATATAACAGGAGCTGAAATCCTCTTTAAGCCAACAATAATGTGGCAATGGCTTAAACTAGTTCAAGCTCACGCCTGGTTAAACGGAAGTCTGAGCTCCTTCCCAGGCGCCTTCCGTGCCAAGAAGGATGCTGGGCTTGAGGGCCGCTTCAGCCGCTGCAGTGCCACAGCTTGCAGAGGGCTCTCATCCTTCAAGCAGGCTCCACACTTTCGCAGAAGAAACATTCTTATCTTGGATGAGTGTGTTGCTTCTGAAGTGGTGGCCTCCCTGGCATTGATGGTGGTGGCTAAGTCTGAGAGGCAAGCCTCAGCAAGAGAATCAGCCATAGAGGAAAGGTCAGGCCCTTGTCATGCCATTGGTGCAGCTTTTCATTTTTGCTGATCATGTCGCCTGCTTCGGGATGATGCCTCTCATGATATGCGCACATGTGCCTGAGAGTCGCTTAAACGTAGCTCCCCAACCTCACGTGTAGTAGGAGATGATCTCAAGAGCTCCATGGTCTTGTACAAGCAGCACTATGCATCTGTTCGTGAACGCCCATCAACATCACATTTCGTTGCACAATGCTGCTCCTGCAGCTGTTTCTTCCGTAGGAACAGTCTGAAGTTTCTCTCGTGATTGAGCTTTGCACAATGGGCATGATGATTGACCCTTTGGCAAACCAAGATCGGCATGCTCTAAGTCAGCTCTGCATCCAACACAGGAAGCCTTGGAGGCAAAGCGGAACCACCTGCCACCTCCCCCCATTTCCTTGCAAGGAGCGGGATTCCAGGGCCTGAGGCTGAAGGGATCGCAAGGGGGAAGGACCTCCATCCGAGCTCGAGCGAGGCAGGCTCAAAACAGCTAACGCCCAGCTGTCAAGCGTCAAGCTTCATCGCTTAGCCCGGATGGGTTCTTTGAGTATGGCGCTGCGGCGCTCTAAATGCCTGGATTACTCTGGCTTTGGTGCGGATAGGTACGGGCATTCATGGTCATGATGAAGCAAAGTTCGAAGAAACAAATGTTTCCGAGGGCTTTGTTGCCCTCGCCTCTTTCTGCGCTGTGAGCATATTCGGCAAAGCCGGCCATCTCTCATGGGTCAAACAGTTTCTGTGACAGACTCGAGGAACAAAGTGCCAAGTCCCACCTGACAATGTCCGGGGAATCCTGGCCACATTCGAAAACATCCAACGGGAACAAACTGCAGATTCACAAGAAACCATCGATTCCATGCCGTCATCAAAGTGCATCTCTAAACATGGCAGACACCAGCGGACACTCTTTGTAGTCCAGTATGGAAATGAAATTCTCATGCGAAGCCTGGCGCAAGCACCAAGACTATGCACGGACTGTGACAAGAAAGCTGAGCACATGTACTTTACTGTGAAGTCGTCGCAACAAGCAGTCGTGAAAGCTTCTTGAAACTGTCACTACTTGTGTATGTGCCCATCTGCAATGCAGCTGGCAGATGATGAGAAAAGAAAAAAAAGCAAGCGAAGAAACCTTGTCACATGCACGCTCTTCAACTCCAAACGTATTGGCCAGGTAAATCACTTACATACGAAAGAACGGAAAACCGTTCAGCAACATGTCACATCTGAGAGTCAAAATTGAGAGCTGCAATGCTGATGTCCTGCGCCAAGCTGGCGAGCGAAGACGGTCTCTGTTTTTGAAATTGCTTGCTGGAAGGCGCAAGCGTAGGAACTTGTGCGCTGTCTCTGCTTCACATGCCATCCAGGCCTTGGGCTCGTGTCAAGGGCTTGGAGACTTTTAGCTGAGCTTCAAACTGCAGTTTGGCTTGGCCGTTGCTGCCTTGGGCCCCGCCCTTTCGGCACTCTACAGATCCCCACAGGCTCCATGCAGCATTCCGCAACATTTCTGTTGGGCACGGCCCAAGTTTACCGAAACAGGCTGCAGCAAAAGAAACGACTTTGCCACAGCTCTTAGATGGGCACTCCAAGAGGACCTTGCCACTTTGGTGCTCAAAGCAGCCTTCCTGCAAGATGATCTCGGATCAGATTCCCTTCGCTGTAGTCAGGTAGTCGCCGTCACCTGCTGTGGAACGCTTGACATGAGCCTGGTGATGACAGTTCTGCCAAAAATTCTTCCTCGTGGTCGGCACGAAGTTCGACTTGCTCGGATCAATGAAGGAACAGTGGCATGTCTCGACGCTGCTGCAGGGTAGGCAAACCCCTGCGCTTCACGAATCCACTTGAAGGAACGATCACGCCGTCCTTGTCCACAAACAGTCTGGCCTGGCCACTGCTCACCGCCTTCTCTCAGCATGGCTGAAGCTCTTTGCGATCCAAGCCGGTTGCAACAAAAGAAACCTCTTGGCTGCAGGCCCATGATGGCGGCCATTTCATGGCAACCATCACTTATTGACAATCGGGCGGGGGCTCTGCTCGTCCCTTTTATTGATGCCCAGAAAATCTCGACTGAACTGGCTCACCGTGAAGGTGCCGGCCAACACCGGCCTGATGCAGTTTCGCTTGCATGGCCCGCTTTGGTCACGGACCAAAATTGCGCAGCAGCAATTCAACCTGGTTCCTAGATGCGGGCATGGGGGTTTACGTCGCAGCGCACCGAGCGGAGACCGCCACGCGTAATGGAGGATTGTAATAACCTTTCAAGCCAACCCTCGTTGATGATGTTTATGATGAACTTGCCTAATGGATTGATGAAAAAAAAGGTGCCCGTCAGGAGGCTAATTGGCTATTCTTCAATGCGCGCAGCTTTCCTTGCCACTTGCCCGACTGCGTGTCAGAGTCCATGTCCTTGCCGTGGGCCCTGTGCAAAATCGGAAGCTTAGCTTGGCGGTTGTCCGGCTTCAGGAGCTACAAATCTTCTTGACAGTGCGCGCCCGCGTCTTCTCGGAGCAGATATAGGCTCCTGCAAGAGCTCCTCCGGCATGCTGGAATGCATTGTCACCGTTGGGTATGTTATGCCGCTGCCAAAAGCTCCCAGGGGCTTCCAGCGTTGTTGAGCACACTTTCTTCGACGCCGAGCACGCAGCTCGGGTGAACCAAGTACAAGAGGAGATAGTGAAGTTAAGAGGTACTGTGCAGCTACAGGCTAGAGCTCAGAATGCACGATGGCGGGCTCAGCGAGCATCTCTGTCCATGGGTCCGAGCACTTTCACAGTGGACCCTGGCGACGTCAAAGTCTTAGTGACTGTTGTCTGTCATCAGGAGCTGCGAAATCTTCCTGACAGTGCGTGCCCATGTCTTCTCCGAGCAGATAAGCTCCTGCAAGAGCTCTCTCTGCATACCGGCATGCCTTGTCCTCAGTGAGTACATGAAGTTCCCCATGTGCAGTCTTGGCATGCCCTTGAAGCTAATCTCATGGCGCAAAACATGCTCGAGGGACCCAAAGTCAACGAGGCCGCCATTCCCGAGGTAGGCGCAGCCGCTGAGAATGATCTCGTTTAGAAGTTTAGAACAAGGTTCTCCAGCTCACGGAACTTGCGGCTGCGCTATGTCAGAGGATGCCACGTTCCTGCCATCATTCAGCTGATCGGCAGAGTAGATGATCATCTTTGTCTTGCTCATGGCCAGCTGGACGATTTCAGGCAACTGCATCGAGGACTGGTAGCCACTGTCCGTCTGCAGGCCGGCTTCGTTGAAGTGGTTGATCTGTGAGAGTACAAGCTGTACATCGACGTCATCACAGTTGTGGTGTGGAGCACATGCGGCAGCTTCCTGCAGTCCATTCTGCAATTGCAGGCCTCCTGCCACACTGCGTCATCGTCTTGTGCAGAAAATCCGCATGAAGCGCGTAATTAGTTGTACCGACCCATCATCTGCACCAGCATGTCGGAGTGTATCTTGACGTACGAGTGGCGAAGCTTGCTGATGCGGGTTGTGTTGCTCTTCACAATGTCAGATCGGTCCTCGATGCTGCGCATCATATCCAACACGTCACAGAAACAACCCAAAGTTTGCCAAACAACTCTGTCAAGGGTGAATAGCTTGGCCTGCTTGAAGGCAACTTTGAGATCCTCCCCAGCCAGATCCACCCTACACGCTTCGGCAAGGTGAAGGGCAGAGGACTGGTCATCGTCCTGAGCGCTGTTTATCCGCCACTTTCATGCTGCCAGTCCCGGACAAAGTGATTCCACTTGGCGAATATCGAGTCCCGAGCCGTTTTGTCTGTCCTTCGGTGATCCATGCCACTGATAGGCCAATCCAGGACGCTATCAGTCAAACACTTGCGGGCCACGTCAAGGTACGGCTTGTAGCTACTTCAAGTTGAAGCTCGCTCAATGGGCGTTTCCGTGCACAGGCGCTCCGTGCAATCATTGAAGAGGGGTCAACGAATAGTTTCTGCTTCGTGGCTTCATGCTGCAGAACGTAAAGCAACTCCTTGCCTGAGGAGATGTTGGACATTTAGCTCTGTTGGTAGCAGTTTCCAAATGTCTCCAGAGTCCGTCGGCAGCTCCTCTCCTTGGCCATAGCTCCAGTCCCATGGCTTGACCCCGACTGGCTCTTGTCAGAGAAGATGAGTCCATGCAAGAGCCGGGCTTGCATGTGAGCATGCATCGTTCTGAGTTGGCACATGAAGTTCCCTGGTGTGCTCTTGGCATGCTCTTGAGGCTAATCTGGTGCTGCAAGACAAGTGCAAAAAAAGGAGCCAGCGCTCAAAATTCCAAGGTAAGCGCCCGTGGACCAAAACGGCATATGGTTCTGCAGCCCTCCACACTTGCGACCCCCGTCGTCCGGCCTTCATGATCCAACAATCTCTCATTTCTCAGCATTCCTTCACTCTCTTCTCTTCGCCTACAATTGATCTTTCTTTCTTTAGGGCTATCGGGGGACGAGAGGACCCCCCGGCATCTGTGCCAAGCCCGTGTTGGGCAACCAGGCTACAATTGATCTCTCCTCCTTTGACTTGTCTTCGAGTCTGGTGCGGTAGGATGCCTAGAAATGATGCGATACTATCAGCCAAGTACGCGGAGACCATGCTTGGTGCAGCTTCTGGCTGCTGCACTTCAACCGTGGCCCTCGACTTCCGAAATGCTGCAAAGCTTGACAGAAGCTTAACTTGTCCCAAAGCTCGATTCAACCAGCGAATTCACAAGGTTCACTATTGGCTGTCAAGAGTGGAGCTCATACGAAGCGCATCTCAAGAAGTATGGACATGGCCTCAACGCATTGACAAATTGACATGTCGACTTACTTGACACCCTAAACCTGTGGAAGCTTCCAAACTTGCTGTCAGCAGCTCAGCAGTTGGCCTTGAAGAGTTGCCGCTGCATTTCGACCTTCTGCTGGCCAGCCTTCTCCTTCAGCGGGACCTCCTAAGGCAGCTTTCGCTGCCGTGTCGCACTCAGCGAGGAAGCACACAAACAGGAAGGCGCTTATTGTTCGTAGCAGCAAGGCATACGCCACACAGGGCGGTCTTCACTAGTCAGCTCCAGCCTCCCAGGTGCTGAACTCTGCGAGCGCCTGCACTAGCTCCACCTGCGAGGATCTGGCTGCGGGTTGCTGTGCCACCAGTTCAGACAGGTCACAGAAAGGGGACCTGGCATGGCTATCAACGAACATGCAGATCAATAGACGAGTCAACACAACTCCAAACAACTTGGCTTTCAAAGAAGAACCTACGCGCTCCGCCGGTGCAATCGTGACACGCCCTGGCGCCTGGGATGCCAATAGGACGGCCGCACAGACCGCATAGACTAAAGTTCGTGATGGCTGTGCTGGCTTCCGCATGACGGTGACGCCTTAGACATCACCGAATTTCATCAGCAGTGGCCGTGGGCGGCATCTCTGAGACACGGGCCCAATGAGGCCGTGAGGCACAGAAAGATCGACATGATCCTGGCCCACCATGCAGCCGACACTTGAATTGCAAACAGCTTTGACCAGATGCACATCATTGTGCATCGGTCCCGGGCACGAAGATGGCCCAGGTGTCAAGGTCCACCTGGGTCGGCAGCCAGGCATCCAGGAAGCCGGCCTGCACAGCTTGTTTACTTGTTTACTCTTCTCCCTGGGTTGTCTAGTCGTTGATTTTGCCTCTAAGAAAGGCGCGCAGAAGAACTTCAGGACAAGCAAGTAGGACTGCCAGCTACTCCTGGCCATCTCACCTCACAGCTGAGAACATCGAATCTCCACATCTCCGGGTCTCAGCTGCTGGGCTCCCTGGCGAAACGAGGCCCATTGGCCCTGACGAGCTGATTTTTTGGAAGGGATTCCAAATCAGACAGCTGGCTGAACTACCCGCCTCATAACAAAAAATCATGCACCTGAGTTGCCAAAAGGAGCACCTGCTGGTGGAAGAAGGCCAGGGTGTGGAAGCTCTGCAGAAACACCAAGCTCCTGGCTTTGCGGGCAAGGTTCTGCAAAGCTTCCAATGGTATGCCAGCTCCAAGAAGGAATTCCATGAAGCCCCTTCAAATCTAATCACCCTAAAATCTTTTCCAGGCATCATTGAAAATGTGCTTTGTTGCCCAAGATTTCAGATGGATGCCTCTTCTTAAGAAAGCTGCGCTGATGCGTAGGCATGTTAGCCCACTCCGAGGCTCTCAACGAGCTCGATTTCGTGAATGCATCTTTGTTTTTCCGAAGTTAACACATTCCAACGACGAAGTGCAGACAGCTAACTGCGTCTGCTCTGAGCATCTCGCTCCTGGATGGTGTGCTGGCGGGACATCCTGCTCATGCCAGCATAGTGCCACCCCAGAGATTCGTATTCAAATTGAGCTGCAAGCATGCATTCAGCAAAGCGCCGGTGCTGTGCTTGCTGCTCGGTGAAAGCGTGGGCCCCCCTCTTCCCCCCCGGCATCGCGCTTGCGCTTGGCCGCATGTTCTGTGCGCTGCTCATGCTCGACCCTCGCCGGGCCAGATCCACCACCACACGCCTCTGACATCACACGGCGGAAGAGACCATCTTCAAACGTGGCATGTGTACCTTTGGTCAAGGCTCGACAGCATCACTCATTACTGGGCCCCAATAGAGCACCATAGCGTAAAATGCGCATAAGCCCATGTGAACCTGCGCAGCTTCAACTCAATAAGGAGCTCGGTACCTGTAAAAAAAGGGTATGGATCCCGCGGTGGGCCACAACTGCATGGAATATGATCCTTCTTTGCCTCATGCTGCAGATTGTCTTGCGTGTTGCAGGCACAAAGCCCTTCGCTGGAACTAGCCTGAAAGAGGTGAAGAGTGGTCCTTTCTGCCACCTCGTCCTGGAGAGTGCTGCTTCCTAAGGATTTCAGCTGGAGGCGAATGCTACACGCCTCTTCTCCGCTTGTCTGAGAAAAATGCTATTCTATCTTCGACGCAGGTGCTTTCTGTGCCGCTGCGGAAAAGCTTTCTTGCATTTGCATTCGTTTGACTTGTCCTTGTAAAGCTCTCAACAGATATTGTTCGTGCTTGCGCCAACCCTTGGTATGCCCTTGCGCCAACCTTGTGTGTGTGCGTGTGTGTACGCGTGCAAGACCGTGTCGGACCGAGGGAAGTTCATTGAGCCGGGCAATTAGTGCTGATCGTACCTGCGGTTCAATCGGACGGTCCCGGGTCAGTGAGGCAGCTGGGGGTCCACAAAAATTGAGGATGTGCCTGGGCTTGGCTAAGCAGCTGGCAATCCCATCTTGGAGTTCCATGTCTTCTGCCTTCCTCTACATGTGCAGGGAGATCCCGAAGTGTGTCTCAGCAATGTTTCCGTACTCGGTCATTGTCGTGCGCCCCTTAAGGGCGACCAAGGTCCAAATTTTCCAGGCCTGTGGTTCCGATGATTCTGTTTGCGATCGACAGCGCGATGTCCGAAGGTGGTCATATATAGACAGCAGTTTGACAGCATTACAGCAACATCTTGAACGCGATTGTTTTGTGAAGCCACCGCGCTTGCCCGGAGCTACCGTCTTGCCTTGGGCAACCAACTTGCCTCGAGCAACCAGTTCTGACCTGCGCGAGCTAACCTACAATCCAAAGCACGACCTTTGGTGTAATGTATTATGTTGGCATGTGGCACAGACATGTGCAGACCAAGAAGCGGCAGCAAAATTCGAAGATTTGATGGATGCATTGGCAGGGCAGAAAACGTTCTGCGACATTCGTGTTCCAAGTCAGAATCTCTGGGAAGGAGGTTTTCGGAGTGACAGAAGACATGAAAAGTCCAGTTGCGCGTCGTTGTTTGTGCCGCAAACCTTTTCAATGACTCCTCCGTGTCAGGCTGTTTGAACGGGAATATGCCTAAAAGGTGGGTCTAGTTTGAAGTCTTTCTGGAAGCCCATACCCAAATGTATAAATGCCGGAGCCTTTGTTTGTACAGTGCTGACGCCCTCCATTGAGGTCTCCCTTTTCAAAAGATGACTGTGTAACCTGCCCAAGAAATTCTTCAAAAATCCTGCAGCAGCGGTTCATTACCCTGGCAGTGCCGTTGTTCAAAGCCCGATGCACAAGTTTGACAGGCCAAGTACGGGCCAAAGAAAGTGTAAAACAAGCTCTGTCCGGTTCATGGGCCTTGTCAATGATGCAGCTGCTGTGGCTGTCGGATGGACAAGGCTAAAAGTTTCAGAAGCTCATGGCGTGGTGACCATCTCATGAAACATTTCCGTGGGTTGAAGCAGGAGCCATCAATGCAAGGAACGGGACAGTTGATTTTGTTTTCTGCCAAACAGGTCCACAAAGGGGCCAGGTGCCGTGTGTGCACAAAAGCCTGTTGGACCAAGGTAAGTTCACTTTCTCCTCCTCATCATCATCATCGTCACTCATTGGCTGAACATCAGCAGGGGGCCGCTCCACCAACTGTCAGGGGGCGGCCCACGAAGAGCCTGGCACTTGGTGCTGATTGTACCTGCGGTTCAATCGGACGGTCCCGGGTCAGTGAGGCAGCTGTGGGTCCACAAAAATTGAGGATGTGCCTGGGCTTGGCTAAGCAGCTGGCAATCCCAGCATCATCAGAACTTCAGAAAAATCTTGGAGTTGCATGTCTTCTGCCTTCCCCTACATGTGTAGGGATGTCCTTGGGTGTGCGGAGTTTCGTGCACAGGTTTTGATGCTGTGCAGACGATTCTGGTTTCGGTGCCTCAGGTGTACAGTGATGAGGCTGCTTCATACATTGGCCAAGGACAAGAACCCCTGGCAAGTCTCCATCATTCTTTCACGGCAGCGTTCATGAACAGCCCAACAGCCCTTGAATCTTCAAAGCAGTGACTCCAAAGACCGGGCTGTGCTGCCTTGCCTACTTTCGACTGCTTGCATGTAAAGGAAGTGCATAATTCCCTAGAGCAACAGACATTCGCAACAAATACGTAGCAGCTAAAGCTCTCAAGTGCTGGCAATGCAAAGCAATTCGCGGACAGCGCACCCTGTCAGAATGAGCACGAAGTGCACTGTGCTGGCTGCACGTTTAGCAAGCTCAACCTGACAACTGGCATGATTGGGCTTCTGACAGTGACAGCCCAGGTCAGGTCATGACAAGCCAGACACTGTAGAATATAGCTGTGTACGTCAACCAGCGTTGTCTACACGAACCAAAACCCATGACATGATCAGACTTGTTTTGCATAAGAAGCTGCCTAGCGTTGACTGGAGCCATACTGGCATGGCGGTCTGGCTGAACCACAAATACAGCCTTTTGCTTCTAACATGCTTCAAGCGCATCAGCATTTAACTTGGAGGTTCACGTTGAATTCTCGCATGATGGATGCTGACTCTCGATTCCAAAGCATCTGCAGCTGAGGCTTCAACAAATGCATTGCTAGAGCCCTGGGCACGAACAGAGCGTGAATCCCCCATCACAGTTGGCTCTGCTTGCGTGAACCACTGCTGCTTGCATTTGCAGGGGCTGAAGAAATCTGTTTCTCAAGCTGCTGCTGAGGTTCCCTGAACGCAGCCGGGTCTACAGCAGCATTCGCCATCTCGCGGACGAAATCATGTGGGTAAACGTGTGGGACGGATGCCCCTGCTAGCGAAAATGCTGCTACATGTTTCCATGCTAATTTGTATGACACTACTGGTGCTCACTACCAGTGAATCATCCTCATCGCTGCCAAGAATGATCCAGTATGATCGAGGATCGAGTAGTTCTCGAGTTGCGGATTCACTTAATCTTCTCTCCCTGCGCTTTCCTGCACCCCCCTGCACTCCCCTGCACTGAGGTCTTTTTCGACATGTCGCCTACGTTGCCTACATCTCTTCGGCCATGAGGCGCTTGCTATTTGACAACAGAAGTTCCGTAATGTTCCATACTTGGCCTTCACTGATTCAGGGTACTTGCTGATATTGGGAGGACATCAATTTATGGATTTAGCAAATTTAGCATGGATATTGATAGCACTTGGATTGGCGTGCTGGCCTCGGCCTGAGCGCATTAAAGCACGGCAAGCCAACACACGGATGGCGTTTGCAGGCGTGGCCGCAAGCCGCGAAACTTGCTGCGGGTCTTGGTGGTGAAACATGTGCTCCTTGCGGCAGATTGTGCACTTGCGCGTGCGAGCATTTCGTGGAGGCTGTGGCCCATGTTACAAGACCAACATGCCCAGTGAGCACATTAAACTGAGCGGGGGTAGCCACCGACGCCCGGTGCTACTAGTAACATGCATCTGCTTTGGCACAGCTCTCTTTGGTAGCAACCCCCTCTTAGGGTACATTGGCATGGGTGAAACCTCTGGCGACTTCACACCCGGACGGCATCAGATTCGACCTTCGTAGAGGAGTGTGAGCACCATGACTCGTTTCCGATCGAACCGCCGTGCAGACACAACCCTCGATGTCCTTCTCCGAAATCAGTGTTTTTACGTTCCAAGAAGCTGCAAAACATCACAACGGCCAGGTCTGTCTTTCTCATGATAATGCCCATCTTCGAAGAAACCCGAAATATGAGAATCCGAAAGGTCGAGCCATGATCCGCATCAGCTGAAACAGAAAGAGGCAGCCTTCCGGTAGCCGGGAGCCGCCAGGAGCTGCATCAGCTCGGCTTGGATGCTCTTGTCGCATCGATCCTGGAGATCTGTCCAGAATTGCTCCATCCTAAAGGGCCCTCAAATAGTAGCCACATTTCAGAGCAACTGCTGCGACGCAGCCTTGCTCAACTTGATAAGCTTCAACTAACCACAGACTCTGGTAGACTTCCGCTGAGCTGGGGCTTCACCGTCTCTCAAAGCAGCTGTTGTCAATCCTGTTCAGAGCTGCAGGCTGCGCTCCACGGGCACAATTTGATTGCTATTACTTCAGGACTCCAGCGCAATCCAAGGGAGCCAATGAACGCTTGACAAGACCAAAAGCCTCTAAATCCCAATCGAACTCCACATAGTCTCAGCCGTCTACCGTAAGGCATGGGCACTTAACTATTCATCCCTATACATGTGGATCCCACGAAGCTGCAAAGACAGAGGGGGGAATGGAGCTTCTTCTGTTCTACACCTGGATTTTTGTGGCCACGCAACTGTCAGGCGCGCACTAGCTTTTGTACCTCCCTAGCAATAATGACCTAGTGCAAGCCTCAACTCAACACCGACCCCGAACATTCCAAATGGCACAGCTTCTGCAAACCTGCGCTGCTTGGAGGGTTCCAGGGACGTCAACAAAACCCTGAGTTGCTAAACATAAAGCTACCGGCACTCCTTGGCTGTGAAGCCAGTCTCATCCTGGCGTTAGGAGGAGACCCTCACGTTGAGCGTGTCTTTGACGAAGAAAGCTTTCATTACAAAGCCTTTAACGAATGAAGCGGAAAAAAGCAGCTTTGGTTGGGTGCACTTTCAAAGGTTCAGCTCGAGTTTCCATAGAAGCGCAATGGGGTTTCAGAGAGGGCCGCAGCTGGAGAGCATGGGGGAGATGCCTCCAAACTAAAACCCACGAGGAAAGGCTCCACAGCTCCCACAGCTACAACTCGCCTTGCACCATGGAACAGCGCCATTGCTCAGAAGCAGCTGCGCAACATTTAAATGGCCCTGGCGAAGCGGCTTGGGATGCAGTGCAGCAGAAGTAGCACGCCTGAATCCAAGCACCGATCTAGGAGTCAACACGAAGCCTTGCCTCCTCCACTGCCAACATTAATGGTGTGGAGAAATCATTCCTTGGCTGGCCCACTCGTAACATCTACAAACAAGCAGGAAAACTGAAGACCTCTGAGGCTATGCCCTTCCCTGCTTTTGCTCATCATTCTGAGTCTTGCCAGGTGTCAGGGTGCTGTTGATGTCACTGCCTTGCTGTAGAAGAAACTTGCAGACCTGCCAAGAGCTTGTTCCAGGGAAGCTGCTTGGACTTAAGGAGCAACTCCTTCCTGAAACCAGCACAGAAGCACCATGTTCGTTCAGAGGGCTGTTGCCAGATGTCTTGAGTTGGACCCCCCCCCCCAATGATGCAGCGTGCGCAACCCACGTAAGCCTGATGCTTTTTGCCGATTGCTCGGGCAGTGTGCCCGGATGTCAAAACAGAATTGATGTGGCTTGTGTCACAGAATCACCGAGTAATGTACCTGCTACTTCTCGTGTGATAGCTAGCTTCTATCGTACACAACATGCTAGTGATCGGGCAGAACACCCACACCCACAACTTCTCTGTGTGACCTCTTGCGAGATGTGGAAGGGCCCCTGGATAATCTCAGCCCGCCTGTCCACTTGATAAACCTTGGGCACTAGGGAACGGGCAATGGATCCATACCGTATAGTCCTCCCCAGAACCCTTTGGAATCGCATGAAGCTTACCTCCAGCTGCCCAGAGGCCGCAGAGTAGTGGAGGGCGCTCCAACTGTGGACATCTGCTGAATTCACGCCTCGGAGAAACTGAGGCGGAGAATCAATCCTCAGAACTCGAAAGTCTATAAATCCTATAGCCCCCAAACTCTACAAGCGCCTCCCTGCCCACAATGTCAGGCCATGGTCCTACGTCCTGGTGGAGCTGGTAGGACCACGGCTCGCGCCTTCCGCGACGCAGCGTTCCACAGCCTTTCACCAAGAAGGCACTTCAGACAGGGCGGAAGGCTTCTGGTTCGGGTTTGGAGTTCCAGGGTTTGAAGGATTTGGATTAGTCCTGTCGGTGGATTGGTGGATTTCTCTTCCAATTTGTAAACTTTTTTCGTGACCCCTTTGAGAGCAATCTGATAAACTCTTGTGTCAGTTAAGGCCTGGCATCTGCAAAAAATCTGGACCAGCAATCTTGCCGTTTTCATTGGCCTCTGCATATGCGTCTTGAGGAGTCCCAGGACTGAACAGTGCCAAGAGAGCCTCATGCACCTAGGTTTCTGCCAGCTACTTGATGCTTGCAAGTGCATGCTGCGGGTGCTTCAATTTTTGTGACGACACAAAATCAACGACACATAATCCGCTGCTAAGCCCTTTCCAGCTTGCTGGCACCCGCAGGCTCACTGGGGCGCGAAATGTTTGTAACAGATTTGATTCAAGAGGAATGAACGCTTTGAGACGATTGGCTGCAGTCAGGACACAGCAGTGGTAAAACACGAAGAGTTAACACGTCACGGAGATTGAAGGAAAGCTGCCAACAACAGATCCCCAGGTTCTGTACACTGGGACCGAAGAAGGGCAACGCCCTGCAATGGCCTGCGAGCAACTTGGCTGGGATGTATGGAGCTTTTCTTCATGCACAAGCGTTGATCGTGCCGTGCGTGTCTTGCAAATATCCGCAGCCAGAAGCTTCGAGGCAAATCTTTACATTGGTCCATGGCTGACTCAGGGTCTCCAGAGTATGCCCTGGATAACCTGAGCTCGTTGCATGGGAACTATATCCAACGAGGGCAAAGCTCCCCCCGTGAACTGAACGCAGGAGGCTTCCAGAACGATACAATACCACCAGCATCATGACGACGACGATGACGGACGACGACGACGACGACGACTACTACTACTGGTGCGTGCACGGCTCCCATTCAGATGTAGGCTGAAAAGAGGATTTTTGGTGCCCGTGTTCAGATCTAAAAACAAATTCACGACTCTGAAGGCCCTAAAAACTACGCTTTTCAAGAACTCGATCAAGCCAATAGACTCTACGTCGACTCTAGGTGTAAGTTGGGGATTGGAAAGTACAAGGCATGTAAGGTTAAGAGGCTTTGAACGTCCATGCTTTAAGTTCGGATTTGTGTCATACTCGTGACCTGCTCAAAACACTGGCCGGTGGGACGATATGCAAACCTCAAAAAAAGCTTGTGAGCAAGCAAAACACGAACACTGCTTACATCGCCCAAAAACGAAATCGAGAACACACAGCAGGGTCAGCAACTGTAAGGCACGTGCTCCGAAGCATACAATCCGTGTACAATCAACAAGTTTGACGTGCGTGCACGCTTCTCAAGCTCCAGTACAAGCCGCTGTGATGCCAACATCAAGAGAAACATAGAATACCCTCACGACTCTAACACTGGATTGATCCTCAAATTCGGGACATGCTCAAAATCAAAAAGGAAACTACAAATCCGCGATGCATCAGTAAGGACACAGCGTGTAGCCAGGAATGCTGAGGAAGAGCTCTGAAACATTATGTCTGTCTTTTTCAAGGAAAGAGGACTGCCACCTTAAAGCTACAGAGCTTTCCACAGCCAAACTCGAGCCGGGTTCCTAGCATACTACTACCTCTTGTTATTGTCATTTTTAGTTTTATTTTCAGTACTACTATAATACTACTACTACTACTACTACTACTACCACTACTACTACCACTACTACTACTACTACTTCTACCACTACTACTACTACTACTACTACTACTACTACTACTCTCTCTCTCTCTCTCTCGAGGCGCAATCACAAGTAGTGATCCTGCGTATCCGGCAGCTCTTCGAGCCGGCTGATTCAGCGCATCCATTATGCCCGGAAGCGTAAGTAGACAAAGCTCCAGAGGGCCGCTACGAATAGCCAAGCACCCTCAGCGCAAACCCGGATCGTAATCCCAAGCAATTCGCGCACTATACAAAGGAGCCAAACATTATCGTTGGAGACAACACTGTACGAACAAAAAGTAGAGGCAAGAGATTCATCCTGGAAGGGGAGCATCCATCGTCTACAACCAAACAAGCAGATGCTGTACATCGCTGGCCCCGTCACAACAGAGCGAGAGGGCGTCCCCTCAGCTCGTAAGTGAATCATGAGTGCTCGTAGTCCGCAGACCCGTCAGCATGGGGATTGCCCTGCGCCCAGCAGCACCTCCCCCTCACAATCCCCTTTGGCCGTAGACCAGGCTATGTACATACAGCTGAGTTCAGAACAAGCCGAGACCTTTCAAGGCACCATGTTGAAGAGGCGGGAACTCTCACCTGCGTTCACGCGGAGCAGGATCGAATGTGCTGCTCCAACGCAACCACACAGCAGAGACAGCAGCGTATGCCAGTTGCCAAGAGCAGAGTGCCAGTTTTGTCACGTAGCCACAGGGTTGACAAGTCGGAAGCCGGCATTCGTAAGCGAACACCTGTCTGCATAAGTTAAGAGTTCAGGCTGCCGTATATGGAAAGCAGCAGCAATAAGGCGATCACCTGACCAGCAAAGTGTACCATGTCTGCGTCTGGGATCAAACTGCACAAAGGGCCTTTCAAGCTCCAAAGCGACTCCACGATATCCTTGGTGCTCCACTGGTCCTCCCTCCGATTCAATCCACAAAGCACCATGCGAAAACTCGGAGAGCCTCACCAGTGTATTAGGAATCATTGGATGGTTATGGAGTCCCGGCGCACATCCGAAGTAATGTTGAGGATGATGCTAACAGACGAGAAAAACGCCTGCGGAGCGGCACTGCGGATAAGTGGCGCAAACAAAGCGGTTGATGCCCTGAGCTGCGTGGCATTGGCCATCAGTCCAGTCTTGGGGCCGCGCACATAAGCTCCCGTAGTAAACAGACATTTGTTCACACAGGCATGTCCGCCATGCTGGAATGACCTTGTACAGGTAGGAAGAAGAAGGACAAGCTGCATTATCTCGGGCTCAGAGATCCAGCCTTTGCTTAAGGCAGCAAGAGCCAGGCCTTCACATGGTATGCTGTCGTCCTCAAAGGCAATGGACATACCTTGCAAATCCAGGTTGAAGCCAGGGGGTTCAGCGCACTGCATCAAACGATTCGGAGACGGGGAGTATCCTCTCAGGCTGTCTTCGCATGGATCAGACACCAAGGACTCGGTCTCAGTGCTCTCCCAGCTTAGAAAGGTGGGCTCCGAAACATCAAGCACATCAGCCTGGGGGACGGCCAATCCCCAGATTGACGGGGCCTCTAACGCAATGAGCTCGCTCCACTCCTCATAACTCATGTCCATTGTTGTCATGCTGCCCTCAGCCAAATGCTGCATGCGATCGTGTTATGCTTTGCGCTGGAAATACCATCACAGAACGCCATCACTGAAAGATTCTTAGGGCATTGAACCAGCTGCAAAGAGGCCTGCTTGGCAAGTGGCAAAGTGGCGCTCTCCGGCATCCATACCCCTGAGCCATGAAAAGTGAAGTCGAGATTCCAAACTGATTGCACCAGAGAAAGGTCCTGACGTATTCCGTGATCTCAAAGGCTTCGAAGCGCCTGAGAGCGGTAAGGCAAGGAATAGCACGTCTGACCGAGCACTGAGTTGAGCTTCAGCTGGAAACTGTGCTGCTATTTTTGTAGCACCAAAGACATCCAAGAGGAAACTGTCATTCGGCTCCGCGTCGGGAGAAGCAAATTACTGCGCCGCATGCAATGACCCTGCTCTGCAAATCTCCACATCGGGAGTAAGGGAGCAACAAGTGGGTGCCGCAGAAATGAAGACCAATGGCTGACACATCAACAATGCCCCATTCAAAAATTGGCCTGAACCCGAACTGCTGCTCTGAGCTCGTGGGGGCACCATCGCAGGCTCCGCCCGCATCTCTCAGCCAGAGACATCCTTGGAGATGGCCACAGCAAGACCAGATCTCTGCCCTCGATCAGGACGGAACTGACATGCGCAAAGCTGTGTAACTGCAAGACCACAAAGCAAATTCATGTGTGAAACCAATTTGTCCGCTGCTTCACCGCGAAGTGGGAATTGCAACAACAGCGCCAGTGCCTCCCCTTTCAAGTCTGGTTGCATGGGGCGCGTCGGGTAAAATCTGGAGACGGCGCCCTCCTCAAGCGACAGCTTCAGAACATCCTGCAGCACCTCTTGGGCCACTTGGCGAGGAACAGGTGGCCGTGCATCGACCTCCAGCTTGCGTTGGCTGGGGGACCATTTCAGGTACTGCCAGTTCTGCCCAGCTTTGTCGAACCATCCAACCTGAGCCAGCTTGTCCTGAGTTTCCTCCTGCATCCCCACCGCCCTCGCGAGGTCAGCAAGCATTGAAAGAGGACTGTTCGCATCGGCTTTGTCAGCGACTCAGGCGAGGTTTCTTTTTGCCGGGCCCAGGCTGCGCGTGCTTGCGCAAGAGGCTCGATGACAGAGGCATCCACGCCAGTGCGCAGAAAACACACGAACGAGCTTTCAGCACGAAGAGTGCCTATGGCATCTTCATGCCTGAGCGTGAGCTTCTGTAAGGCGTTGATCTGACGCCGGAGGTCTTGGATCGTTTGGCGATCCGAGTCTCGCCCAGCTTCTCGGCCCCAGGACTGGTTCCAGCTTTGCGACCACTTCTGGTCTTTCCGCTGGGATGTGTCCTCATTTGAGGGCGCTCCTCCGCCCCTGCCAGAGTTGCGGCCCTTGCCACGGCCACTCTGCTCGCGAGCCCACTTGCCGCCCCTGCTGTCAAACTCAGAAGCGCGTCTCCTGAACGCGGTTCGGGTCAACGTCCATGCTGTCCTGCTCGTGGGCTGGCTTTTCAGCAATGGCCTTCGCTGCCTGTTTGCCGGCCGGCATGAAGGCTTCCCAGAAGGCCTTCTCACTGATGACGGGCGCTGTCGTCTGAGCTGCCTCGCCCGTCGCATGTAGCAGTATGCCGGGAGAGTGCAGTAAGTTCAGAGCCCTTGCTTGACCAGCCAAAGGAGATACACGTTGCATGCATGTTCCCTTTGAAGCTGCGTCTCAACACTTGGCACACCATCATCTGAGTAGTACCACTGGCCATCATGTCTGAGGAGAGCACGATAATGTC